TGATGATGATGCTTTTTGACCCGTTGATCGAATTTGTTGGCGTGGCTGTTGCCTGCAGCAAAAACCTTCTCCATCCTCTGGGCCTTCAGGTTCCACCAGCGTTCTCTGCCATTCTTCAAGCTCCTAATTGTTGGTTGTTTGAGGAATCTGCTTGAGCCATCACAGTCGCTAGTTTTAGCAGTAAGATCTGATCTCGAAGATATCGAATGTCCATTTAGTCAAGTCAGATAGACTGGACAAACAATTCTGAAAGCCGATAGCATTGCTTTTTTTGACTCGCCTCCATTCGACCTCCGAGCTGTCTCCGTCGTCCACTGTGCGTTCTCCTCAGCTAGTGTAACTTGTCGAAGTTCATGAACGGAGCTGCTCTCTTCCGGCACACTTAGTGCTGGCGGGAACGAAGTGCTAAGCGGGCCCACACGATGGCGTGATCAGAGTCCAGTTACGTACCCCAGAGGGAACGACAATCCTTATTTGAGGTTCTTTTTCGATAACTGATAGTCATATGGTCCTATTGCGTCCGCGGTTTTTTTGTGGTAGGTGGCCTCCAAGAAACTCGGCGTGCCTTTGTGTTAGAAGTTCGTACTGGCCAGGAATAGACGCTGATCCGCACACATCTAAAAGTGCTGCTCCCCATTATCTGTACGCTCAACATCAACCTAAATCTACTGCCTAAATGTGCTTTTCTGGACTTAGTCGTCCAAATTGGGCATCAGTATCTCCCTCCAGGATTACTCTACCCGTCCTTTTTGCCGACCGAATCAGTCGTGACAGATCTTGCTAAAAATCTTCTATGTAAGTCTCGGAACTGCAGTCCGTCTGATTGTATACTGATACGATAGATAAACAGCGTTTGCCGCAACGAGGTGCATTGGTTTTCACTGAGTCAGATAACCGCACAGCAATAAGATGACTGTTTACTGGGATTCAGTCTAGTAGAGGGCGCTTTCAGCTTGGGGCTGAGTGCATCTCCCACACCTTAGATACCACTAGCCGTCAGGATCACCGGATGCCCGAAGAGTGAAATGTGGAACATCTGAGTTCATCCTAAACGTTTTGAGGTGCAAGACAGATGTAGGGTCTTGCATGAGTAAAAGCAATGTTTCAGCCAGGGATGCCTGTTGCCCAATTCGACATAGAGCGTCTGGAGGGAAGGAGACTGTGTTCGTCAGACCTCTAACCATTGACCAACCTGGTATGAGAGACTCTGTGAGTGTCGCGGAACACTCTCCAGTGTAGTTCAATGGATCGCTGAGGTGCGCAAACCGCCACACCACGGTAAGGTCCAGTCTCTTCGTGACGGTAGGGTTTTGATCGGGGGCCCTTTCCATAGCCTCTGACTCAGAAGTCTGGACCGCGAGACAGCGGTTGTTAGGATTTTCTTGGGGGACGATTCTCGGAGCTGATGACTCAATAATCTGACCTACTTGGCTGTAAGGGGCTGGCCTGGCCCGAGAGCGCATGGAGTAGGGCATTATTGTCTCACTTCTGATGCGGCTGCGCACAACAGGCGCTTTTTGAGCACCACCGGGCTCTTTGGTTTCGACAGTATTTCGACCGTAGCGGGTAATACGCCAGCGGTCACGGTCAACCTTTGGTCGCCTTGAGTGTGCGGTTTTCGGAGCCGAGCTTTTCTAACACGTCCTTCCTCGCGGGAGGGGAGCATCGGTGCTTCTTTAAATATAAGCATGCTGGTCGCTTGGGGGAAACACCTTACTGCCTTCACACTCCTGTCGAAGCGAACAGTACGACCACCTCCAGGCCGCCTCGTAATACGGAGACTCGCTGTCCTTCGTCATGCTGCTCTCCGTCGGCCTTCCTGGCGTGGTTGAAGCTTTAGGAACTGAGTTCCAGCCAGTATAGCCCGCAGTATCATTGCAGCCCGACCACTACGACAAGGTGACAGCTTTGGGTCTTCATAAATGATGATGATGACATGAAAGGGCCCTACCTTTTCTGTGGTACGGGCTAGTACATGGGTTATCATGTTTTTTTAAAGCGTGCACCGATGCCGCAGTCTTTAGTCTGCTATACCTTAACCACGGGTCATTGCAATAAAGTCTTGTCAGCACGACAAACTGGTGATACAGAATATAATATTTTATGACCTGTTTAAGATAGTGAAAATACTAACGGTGCTATCGCGCGAATGTTTGTGCCTTAACAAGGGTCTTTGGTGCAATTCTGGCTGGCATTCGTGAGGAGATGGTTCCGTGAAGATGGTGTTTGTGGACGACGAACTTCGCCGCCCACACAGAAGGTGTTGATCCCGGTCGATTTGCAAATACTGATTACCGTACTTCGTACTCACTGTACTCACTATAATCATCAGATTTCTGCCACACATTCTTTTTAGTTTTCTTTTCAACCTTTAAACCGGACCGAATGCGGTCGGCACTCGACGGCGGAAGATTCTTTCAGTCGGGTTAGTGATTCAGGTGTTGCGACCGACTGTTCCTTCCTATCGGAACTAGATAAAACTGCCAACAGCGCACCTCATATCTCCAGTACGAGAAATGAACCCACAGGTTCTAGCCTGGCTCATGCGTCTACACCTTCGGAGCTTCCGAAGCAATCATCAGATGTCAGTCCCCAGAAGAAGTCACCTGATCTTTCCCAGTCTATACTGGATCTTCTGAAACCACCGTTGAAGAAAACCGTAACCAGGGAATCAGAAGAGGTGAGCTTCGGCTGTTTCCATGTTCCATTGGTTATAAACACTTCCATAAGCTTTGTACCCATAAGGCTTCCACATCAAATTTCGGTTAATTCTAAATCAGGTGATTGTGAATGGTTCAATATTCCCGATCCATTTGGGCCGTAGAAACCTGAAAGCCTAAGTCCATCTGATCCATTTGAAGAGAATAGTGATATGAAGCAAGTGACAAATTACTGACACTTGCCAGTTGGTATAAAGAACTATGGTGTATGGACACCATCTTAGTGGCACTGAGAAAAAGAGTCATTTTGGTTGAGTGGGCCATAGAGTAGCGTCGGAGGCAGACAAATGGTTAGAGTCGGCAGGGAGGGGCTGTTCCGTAAATTCCACTCAGCTAGTCTACTGGTTAGAGTCGGCAGGGAGGGGCTGTTCCGCAAATTCCACTCAGCTAGACGACTAGGAGCTGTACGGCCTCAAATCACAGTCGGCGGAAAAATGAAAGTTTGATATAGAGGTGATGGTGTGTTTTCAGGTGACCACCCTTACGCAAAGTAATCTAATTGAGCAGTGTGTTTGAGAAGTTCATCTAATCGCCGTTACTTACTAGTTCAGGGGCAACTAAATGCTTGGCGCCAATGTCCGGCAGCACCGTGTGTCTCGTTGCGGGCTCAGTGGCACCAGTCTGTAGAGCTGTGATTCTGTGATTGGTAGAAGACCGGAAGACGTCTCAGTTCCGCTGCTAGCAGAGGCTACGTCTTACAGGTATATAACAAAACAGGCCGTATTGCACTTTGGTATTGGCGTTCTTGAAATCTAGTGATATACCGTTTTACCGCCAAGTTATCCCAAAATTACCATGCGAGACCCCAGCCTTGTAGATTCGGATATTACCCCTATCTGTCACACTACAGTCGGAACTAATACAACTTCCAAGATACATAAAGGGCTCCATAACTTCGAGTACTGAATTGCAAGTGACGTGTTCAGTGGGGCGAGATGGCTCAGTGGTTAGAGTGCGAATTTACTGACCGGAAGGTCCGTGGTTCGAACCCGACCTCTGCCTCTTGACTTCCCCTGTCTAGGTTTGGGCAACCTGGCAGTATCCCAGCCCTTGTGCTTCCTTCTGGTGGCGTGGCAGTTAGGCACCGAAAGAATGCTACAGTTGAACGGTTTTCATTATTTATTTACTGGCTGCGTGTCCAGGAGCATGATCTTTATTGGTGCATGGGACATGCCAAAAGTGTTTGCGCCTTCTCCATTTTGAAGACAAGAGCGACGTCGTCTGCCTCTTCCGGATCGACGATATTTTCGTCAGAGATTTGAAGACCTTTCAGTGAACGAGTCGCCTCGCCGGTTACGAAGTTGAATAGAAACGGAGAGAGTGGGCATCCATGTTCTACAGTAACTTGTTTATGGAGGCTTTTGGGGAGCTTCAGTATGCTCACACAACCTCAAGGTCGAGAATACGATAAGTCACTGTATTGGCAAACCTTCGGGGCATTCCTAGCTGAGTATGCGTGTTAGGGAGAACTGACCGGTCAAGTGAGTCGAATGCGCCTTGGAAATCCAGGAAGAATTGCGGATATTTGCTTAACGCCACCTGTAGGAGGCCAAAACCTCTCTTGGTCATCACGAGTTTATTTGTATTTGTGTAATTCATGATTGTGCATGGGCAGAGCACTCACACATGGGCAGAAAGACGATTACGGTCCTCAACCAAAGTCCTTGGGTTGGAAGCCTGACCGCAAGGCAGCGGGATTTGGGCGAAAATCTAAGTGCATCGGCATTTTTAGGGAACACGTTGCCACACATGTTGCAATCTCCTAACCTGGAGGACCACCTGACAGTTTTCGTCAGGCTTCTACTCATTGACCCGCCTGGTATGAGAGACTGCGAGTGTCGCGCGGAGACCCCCCGGTATAAAGCCCAATGCGTCACCGAGGTACACAAACCGTCACTTCACGGTAAGTTCCAATCTTCCCGTTTGGTCCTTATGGAAGATGAGTATAAACCATATTGCCAACGAGTAGCCAAAATAAACGAGGAAAATATCCGCTGGTCATCGTTCACTCACGAGGGGGAACTTACAGACCTCGTCAACTTGGTAGAATGAGTGCACTGGGATAGAGGATAGTTTACAACCGGTTGCCTCGAGCCTGGATGAGTACTTCTTGTTTGATAAAATTATTCATTCGGTTTACTGCCTCGCTCATTTCCCCGTAATTCCCTGAATACCGTCTATCTTCATATTTGCTAGCGTGTCCTTAAAATTTATGCACCTTATCTATTGTTTCCCTTGCAGGTGCGTCTGATCAAGCTGTACCAACATGCCCTTCGACTATGCTCATCTGGCTCCACGGCGGATGAGTTTTCCGCAAAGCCGCTGCTGGAGAGTATCGTCGGGAGCTTCCTGTTGAAATCCAGTGTACGTATTTTCAATTTCGTGCGTTCGTTTCTACAATGCCGATGATCACTTGCGTGAGAAGCCACATTTTCAAAGTATATCAGCATCACTGTGACACTTTGTGCTTAATATTCCGTCTATTGGAATCAGGAGACAGAAATCTGTCAGTCAGCCCATGCGCTCTCACTTTTTTCGTGTAGGAAGACAGTGAGTGAAGCAAACATGGCGAAATTTGGAAGGAAATATCAAATATAAAAGTCAACTCAGAACCACACATGTGGTCTCATAGTTATTCTCCTTTGAGCGTTTTGACCACCAGTGCTGTTCGTTGGTTCTTAGGCTTTCAATTTGTGCTCAGTGACTGCCACAATCGGACGCTCCGTCTTTTTTACTGAATCACGTGTGTGCGCTCTTCAGCACATTTGTCCACAGGATCCCGTGGTTCGCCATCTCTGCACATTGAGCATAGTACACAAGATTACACAATTGAAGCTGAAAATGCTTTCGGTGACGCATGCTTTCAGTCCCTGTTTCACTTCTGTCATTCGCAATTTTGGTTGGTTCATTCTATTCCTTACTTTATCACGTCCCTTTCCTGTCACAGAATCTACCCTCTCAGCTAAGATCGATCAAGTTCGCAGCTTGCAAGCTACTGGGTGGGATATACACGCGTTTGGAACAGAACTCGAAAGCTCTGAGGTTATTCAGTAAAGTGAGTGGTTCATTCTTTTATTGACCAGAGTCGGTCCAACTCTGCTACTACCAACACAAAGGGGAGTTTCTCGTTAATTCCGATTTATGCGTTTTGTCGTTTTTTCCTAGTTTTATCGGAATTGTCCCCGGCTCCTCTGCCATCAATGCATCTACCGCTTGTAGGACTGCAATCCTGAGAATTGCGTCCAATTATGTGGGCCAGGTCACCGAGACTGTTGTAGATGCCCCAGTAGTGAGGTTTTCTCACAGCAACCTCTTGCATGAGGGTTATCTTAAGACTGAACCTTTTTAAGGATTTATATTGCAGTAGACGTAGTTCGAACCACGGACCTTCCGATCAGTAATTTCGCGCTCTAACCACTTCGGCCGTCTCGCCCTCTGTTGTAGATGCCCCAGTAGTGAGGTTTTCCCCACAGCAACCTCTTGAATGAGGTTTATCTTAAGACTGAACCTTTTTAAGAATTTGTATGTAGATAGACGTGCTCCATTGTATTCGTTGCCTGCCTTCTTAGGGTTCGTAGTTTGGCTGGATATGTGAACTTTGTCACTTTCTTTGCCTTCCGTCCTTGTTCCATTTTGTGTGTGCATTGTAACTCTACTTATGGTTCACGAGTCGCCTTCAGTAAGTTCTTCGAGAGCAGGTGACTGAACTGCTGTACAATGTTCTCAGGTCATCACTCGGGACCGTTGATGCATCATTTTCACTGTCAACTTTTTTCTCTTGCCATTTGAACGAATGAGTGTGACTATTTATCCATCTGGTGGTCTTTGGACGCTGCGATTACTTTCCTGACGAAGCTGACTAACGCCTTTTATAGTACAAACAACTTGTTGTGTTATGCATTAGCGTATTTGTTTGTGAAAATCATTCGTGTCCGTTTATTTCACAGGCAATCCAACTCGATGGCAATGATATGTGTCTTTGGCTCCGACTATTTCGCGTTGCCAAACGTTGTGGACAATTCGATCAGGCTAGTCTGGCATTGGATCATATCCTCACTGAACGACCCACCCACCCAATCGCCCTACCCTTGTCTCTTCCATTCTATCTCGCCATTTCAGAATTCGAGGGTGAGTTAGTGCGGATATACATTTGATCTATGGTTTGAAATAAGAGTCGGTAGTCTTTGCGAAACAAAACTGCTTTCGGTTTCGCGAGGGAACCAAATTGAATAAAAAATTAAATGAAAGCGAGAACGGTTCATTCGGTTAGCCAGTTATTGTTTCGGAAACAATAAACTCAGTAAACTGAGAAACCCTGTCAGTTGTCCGATGAATAGGAAACGGATCTACGCAGTACATTCACTGTCGGCCACTGCGTCACCTAACAATCACTTACTTTAAATTTGATGTATATGTACATAAAAATGTCAAGTTCAAAGCGGTTTGTTAAATACATTCAAGGGAATTGCAATATGCTCTCAGATAATTTCCCAAGGAAGATAAGAGTTTAGAGCTGGCGGCCATGTTTTAGTTCAACCAACATCGTACATTGCTATACCCTACAAAGCAACATCGTATATTGCTATACCCTACAAAGGTTGTTCTCTGTTCCGGAGAATAATGTCTTCGACCGTGTAGTACCTCCGCGAAGGGATACAACACAACCTTGCATGAGGGTCTCTTCTTTCCTATACTTGACAAGTTACGTCTTTCGGAGTTTATTGAACCACTGTTTTGCACTAAAGAATCCAACTGATGTACCTCTCCACGCTCCAATGCACGGAGAAAACTGTTCATACAGGACACTGATGTTACATACGTTGTTGTCGAATACCATTAGGTATGAGAGATATTCGTAACTTTTAACCATTCAGGCCAGCGGTTGTCTTCAACAAGTGCTGATAATTGTTCTGTTATTTTTTGTCAGTGTGCTTGGAATTGTCTGCGCGAGCCCTGAAACTGGATCCTCTGGATGAACGCGCATTATACTGCATACAACGCATCGGGAGTCTGCAACCGAGTTTGTTGATTTTCACAAAGGACAAATTCGATATTAAGTATGTCTTTTTCTTGTGTTCCATAGTGTTGGTCTTTTCACTTGCTCTTATGTTGCCTTTGCTGTTCTCTTCCAGTCCTGATGTCTTAAGCGAACCAATCTCAGAAGAGACTCGGACTAGGGTGAGTCAGTTTGGTTTGTTCATGTCTTCGTAAGAACCTACTATTATTATTATTACTATAGGAAATGACTTGTACTGTGTTCATTCCGGTCAGTCTTTTGACAGGATCGATAACAAGGAATCCGCAGGGTGACAGTATGTTGCGGACGTGCGCCGTCATAGTTCAACCCAAGTCAACAACGTTGCCGGCATCGGCGTTTCCTCTTTATAGCTAACTAAAATCCTCCCTAAAGAGAACATATGATTACTTGCAGCCGTGCATCTCGGTTTCCGAAACGATGAAGGGAGACATCGGTGTCCGAGTGGAACCTCGTAGTTGCCTGTACAGGATTTTACTCAATGTATCATTCGGGACCGAGTGGAACTACATTGAAATGCTGGAAGGCTTGTAATTGGTAGGAGCAGAGCGGAAGCTTTGATGTAAGCAACATTGTTAGTGTCGGTTGGACTATGCCAACCAAGAAGGTTTGGCCTGTTTTAGTGGCAATGGCGCATTAATTTTCCTAGTCAACCCGGCAGCCCACCAAGTAAAGGGACGGTTTAGAATTTTAGCTTCTGAATAGTTCGGAGGATAACCCTGTATTGCTTTTTATCAGCTGGGTGGGTTGATACGGCAGCTTGCCGAAATAAGAACTGGTAGTATTGATAGTAATAACGGGAGACCCAACCTAATCTCTCGTGTATGACATTCTTCAAGTGAATGTGATGCATAAAGGCCGCCTCTTGGTTCATTTGGCACGGTGTCCAAGGCATCAAAGTCTATTTGCTGGACACAACACACCATTCGTAAGGTTGCCGAAGTTTCTTGAGTGTTCATATTCGGTTTTAGCTTTGTTGGCCCCTTCAAGTAGGCCTAGTCCCCAGGTCACGGAACTGTACTTTAGTCTTCCAATTTTCTGGCCAACTGGAATATGGAGCGGCGAATTCAGTGCAGCAAGCTCAGTTGAAGAATATCACAAAACGATAAATTTAGTCGAGTCTGTTGCAAGCGCCAATGAAATTTACAGGACGCTATCACTTGGAGGCAATTTAATGTTCAAGGATGACCGACATTCGGGGACTACGTTTGTCTGATGATCCCCGAGAAAGGCGAAGTCAGTAGTGGGGTGTCCAAGTTTATCCCACCCTTGTAACTAGTGTGTGATGTTATCCAACCGTTAGTCATAGATCACTCGTTCGGTGTGGACGGTTGCCCAGATATGTATTTTTGCTTGTTTATGCTACTTATTCTTGGAAGAATTTCTTCCTTTTTTCAAACACCTGGCTTTCTCAACTTGTCCCATTCAGATGGATCGCGAAGTTGACGAGATACGAACAGTCTACAGAAAACAGCGAGATGCTGACGCTGATGCCGAGTTGTTCAAAATAAAACGTGTCGACTTTCCTGAACTGTCAGGTCCACTGACGTGAGTTTTATTCACACTAATTCAGTGTCTGCTGTACGCCCTCTGTTCACATCCAGTAACTTAATACGGGTGTATCTTCTCAACTGCCACACGCACTATGTACTTGTCAGCATTTATGACTGGGCCGATTCCCATACCATTACTATTGTTATTTGCTACTGGACATTTTCTAGGTTATATATATATATAAATATATTATNTTATTCGTAGCTTTTTCCCCCACCTCCAACCTCACTCTCTTTTCACGTTAATTTTAGGTGGGAAAACCTCCTTGAGGTTACGGTCAGCTTGTTTGACGATTTGGATGCGGCCTCGGTAAGTGTTTCCTATTTTGGATCGATTCTGATCGATTGTTGTAGTGCCTATACCACTGTTCTGTGGACATGTTTAGTGTGTGTTTACACCATTCATTCGCAGTTTCAGAAAACGCTCTCACAGTTGCACGCGCAGATGCATCGATATGCTTCTTTCTTTCTTCATAACCTTTTTCGCTCTTCACATATTTCTCTGATTGTTGTTCCAGCATCCTCTTTTTCTAAAAGTCAATGTGGTATTGAATATCCTAATTTTGTTGCACGTCTACGCAAGGGAGGCTGCTTCACTATGGACCTTTGACCCCCTGAGCACACGATGGCGTTCTCTCTTAACCACGATTTACTCTTGATCCAAAGAAGTGGTGCCACCCTCCCACAGAAAGCAGACTCCTTGAAATCTCGTCAGACTGATTAGTATCTACTTTCGTTTAATACACGGACGTACTGTATTGCCGTATGAAAAAGGCGAACGAAAAGCAAGTCCTGTTATCAGAACCGTGTAGTTAGTCGCTGTTTGATTTGTCCGCCCAGCACAAATTCTCCAATACACCAACACCTCTATCGGGGGTGTATTTGGTTGCATCTCGGAAGCTGGCGTTTCTTCCAGGGAATCGCACGCCAACTCGTAGTTGACGAGGAACACTGCTTCGGACCCTAAGGTAGCCTGTCCTTAAATGTGTCGTTCTTAGGAAAAAAGGCGTTACGGCGTTTCACCTTTTGACAAGCGCCGGTAGATCCTGTCAATCTCAGACTTGTCAGACAATCTCCCGCTTCCTCATATAATTTATGCATTGTATTGTATTTGTACCATGTTTCAAATCTTCCGCACTGAATTTTTTTCAGGAATTGAACTCAGTTTTAAATTTGGAAGCGTTAATTCCGGAAGGTGTGTCCGACGGCCGGTGTAGTCAGTCAGCAGCCGAGGTTACGAACGCCCCCGCGTCGCCAAATCCAGCTGACGCAACTGAGGAAGATCAGCCACGCAATTTGGAGGTTCTTGTGGAGACATCTGTTGCGAACGTAATGTCCAGTGAACCTGTAGAAGAGTCAGATACAAACGAACGCGAAAAGGAGTGTAATGGATCGTTGGATGTTTCAGATACTGTAGAAAAACGTCGTTCTGCTAGGGTAGGTCGTACTTCTGATCATCGGCAATTCCCATTTTATACTTTTGAAGGCCTCCATCAGCATCGGATTGAATGTTGAATTTTGAAGGGCCTGTAGGAGCTATTACCAGGGTTTATTTTGCTGAATTTAATGCACCCTCTCACAGCTCTCCGTGTTTGGTGTGATTAGTCTAGTCTCTTCAATTTAGGGGCATGTTTCTTTCTGTTCTACATGCCTAGTCGGTATCGTGAAACTTTTTACATCATGAAGTCGAAGGTGATGCTTTTGGAGCACCAGTGGTTGGCACTGAAGAGATGTCAAGTTAGGTGCGTTTTGCTGTCCTGTACAACACCGGAATCGTTCTTCGTGATCACTTTTAGATTAGGGAGGCCTTATTAGGAATGACAGTATAATGGGACGTTTCGTGCTCTGTCTGCAGCGATAATAAACCCCATTGTTCTTTTGTTCGTTCGTTTTCGCAGGCTAGACCAGTGGTGGATTTAACCGACGGACTGAATCGGTATCGAACCAAACGTGGTTGGTGCAGCGAATTTGAATCCAAGCCACTGCAAGGCCGAAATGAGCGGTCACCTCAGAAGAATGGGGATACTTTGACTCGGTTCCGCCTGGCCGAACAAATGTCCACCTTACTGCCCAGTGTATTTCGGTGAGTTTTCATTAGTTTTTCACTTGGTGTTGTCAACGTGTATCGCAGGTGTTGCCTGTTTGTTTCGTCATTCCCTAGGATATCCAATATCCCAGTAATATCGGTCCTCATTGATTATCATAACCGTTGTGTTATGCATCTGAGAGGTACGGAGATGGATCTGTCGAAGTACTGTCTAACTGATATACAACATTCAGGACTAGTGTTCAAAGGGTTAATGTAAGAACATCCTCATAAATCCCCTTTGGTCTCTGTGGCGTTGATTCCAATCTTAGCCATTCGGAATCATGCCAATTATAACGAATTGGCCGAGCTAGCCGCAATTTCACAGTTGAGAATTGGACTCTTTCTTGACTATTTACTACTTGTTCCAATCTATACTGTTCGCCAAACATGCCTAGCACGATTGATAAACTCACAGAACTGGCCTGCACTTTCCTGTGGGCGTTAGAACAGAGGGCTGGTCAGCTACCTTATCTTTACGTCCCCACCGGGCCACTTTTTCACGCACTGGTTAAATACTGTGAGTTTTCTGGCATGGCAGACACATCTCTCTGTAACAGATTGCCTCGTGCTGTGTCCATAGAAACGCTTAGATAGTAGCTAAAGTCACACAGAAGATTGTAGAGAATCTGACGAACCAACTGCGTAAGCCTCAATAGCAAACCCTATTTGTAGTCATGTAGTGGTGGATGAATCTGAGCGCTTCTGGCTTATTAGTTCATGTTAAAAGGCGGAGCTGTCTGCTCAGTGTTTTTGCTCTTTGTACTTCGTCGCCTTCATTTCTGAAGCGACTATTCTATGGGTTATATTGGGACTAGTTGGCAGTTCGAGAGTGGTCGCTTGATCGCTGTACTGATNGTGGATTTAACCGACGGACTGAATCGGTATCGAACCAAACGTGGTTGGTGCAGCGAATTTGAATCCAAGCCACTGCAAGGCCGAAATGAGCGGTCACCTCAGAAGAATGGGGATATTTTGACTCGGTTCCGCTTGGCTGAACAAATGTCCACCTTACTGCCCAGTGTATTTCGGTGAGTTTTCATTGGTTTTTCACTTGGTGTTGTCAACGTGTATCGCAGGTGTTGCCTGTTTGTTTCGTCATTCCCTAGGATATCCAATATCCCAGTAATATCGGTCCTCATTGATTATCATAACCGTTGTGTTATGCACCTGAGAGGTACGGAGATGGATCTGTCGAAGTACTGTCTAACTGATGTACAACATTCAGGACTAGTCTTCAAAGGGTTAAGGTAAGAATATCCTCATAAATCCCCTTTGGTCTCTGTGGCGTTGATTCCAATCTTAGCCATTCGGAATCATGCCAATTATAACGAATTGGCCGAGCTAGCCGCAATTTCACAGTTGAGAATTGGACTCTTTCTTGACTATTTACTACTTGTTCCTATATATACTGTTCGCCAAACATGCCTAGCACGATTGATAAACTCACAGAACTGGCCTGCACTTTCCTGTGGGCGTTAGAACAGCTGGTCAGCTGACTCTTTCTTGACTATTTACTACTTGTTCCAATCTATACTGTTCGCCAAACATGCCTAGCACGATTGATAAACTCACAGAACTGGCCTGCACTTTCCTGTGGGCGTTAGAACAGAGGGCTGGTCAGCTACCTTATCTTTACGTCCCCACCGGGCCACTTTTTCACGCACTGGTTAAATACTGTGAGTTTTCTGGCATGGCAGACACATCTCTCTGTAACAGATTGCCTCGTGCTGTGTCCATAGAAACGCTTAGATAGTAGCTAAAGTCACACAGAAGATTGTAGAGAATCTGACGAACCAACTGTGTAAGCCTCAATAGCAAACCCTATTTGTAGTCATGTAGTGGTGGATGAATCTGAGCGCTTTGGCTTATTAGTTCATGTTGAAAGACGGAGCTGTCTGCTCAGTGTTTTTGCTCTTTGTACTTCGTCGCCTTCATTTCTGAAGCGACTATTCTATGGGTTATATTGGGACTAGTCGGCAGTCCGAGAGTGGTCGCTTGATCGCTGTATTGATAATCTTTTGATGTTACGCACTCAACCACTTGAGTTCGTTGTCTCCACTATTGTGCCTAAATACGTTCAAAAACAATATTTGAATATACTAGCCACATTCGGTTGAAATTGCGCACGGTTTCTGGTGGCTCGACGGTAAGCCACGGACGACCATTGCATCTTGCTCTACGTCGCTCTACGTCGATTCCACTGATTGCATAATTTCTCAAGCGGGACTGTCAGCATCTTCATCTCCCAATTCCGAATCTCATTTAGCCGGAGATTCAAGAATCGAATATGTTTCCGTCTATATTGCAGTAGTTCGAAGGTTGCCAGGTTGTTTTCCAGATGTGCGGAATTCCGGTTACTTTGGAGTCGCAAGATATTATCCTCATCCGGATGATAGCACAAAATTTATTCTTCATAACATCCGTCGCTGACTTTACTTAGTCTGTTTGCTTTCTTCGGTTCGCTCTTTTCTTGGAGGCCAAGGAAGTGAGGTTGAGAATTATTGTGAAGCTTGAGTCGTTGAGTGAGAACCATGGGATTTTCTCTGTAATCTTCCGTGAGTTCTATTCAGCTACTTACGGTTTGCTACTCCATCTTTTATCTTACAGCGATTTAGCTCAGTTTGCGCGCTCCAAGAATACTAGTCAGGTTGAAGATGCTCCAGCAGTAAGTGGAACCACGCTGCGTCGACTGTCTTTGGACAACGGCTTGACTGATGACTCAGGTGAGTTAAACAATCACCACCGGAAGATTACAGGTGGAGCGATGTTGTCTATCGCAATGGCTAACGAAAAAGGACCAATTGGTTTTAATCTAGCATAAACAATTGTCCTGGTTGTGATTTCAGTAACTCCGCTTATGGGTAATTTTCCATCTGGATGAATTCAATGGTGGTCGTTGGCTTGGTCGCAGAGCTGTTCAATTTGATTGCATCTATCTAAAAGGGAGTTTTTATCCCTGGGTGAATGAATTTGGAACGCGCAATCACCTATCCAAGGTTCATTCGTTTATTTTTCAGGTGTTCATAAACTTCTTCAATCTTACACTGGTTGGGAAGTTGATTGTTTTACGATTCATCGAGCCTACCAGTTTTATGTCAAATATCCCGTCCTCAGTCGAGTGTGGCTTCATGTTTCAACAATGCGTCCGCTTGCGTTGGGTTTGTAGGGGTTGCTTTTGTATTTGTGCAGGTTATATTGATTATGGTGATGGGGGATGGCAAGGTGGCTCAAATGGTTAGAGCGCGAGCTTACTGACCGAAAGGTCCGTGGTTCGAACCCGACCTCTGCCTCTCGACTTCCCCCTGTCTAGGCTTAAGCAACCTTGGAGTATCCCAGCCCTCATGCAACCTTCGGGTGTCATGGCACTGAAAGGCGCTACAGCTGAACGATGGGGGATCTTCGATTATGGTTGGTCATTTGGTCTTGTTATTGGAATATGATGACCGTCCTGATGAAACCTGGCCAGTGCGGACCGCCATTCCGGCGTCGCTGCCGGGATAACTCCGTTGTTGTCTTCAACTAAGTGACAGCATACTCGGGCCGCTTTGGTCATGGGTGGAAAATGTCGGTGGCAAAAACCTTCCGTTCTACACTGTTTTTCAAATGCGGAGGAATCGCCTGGCTACTTAGGATTTGCGAACATAGAAAGCAGCAGTTGATCGCTGAAATGTGGTTGTGACTTCCATCCAAAGGTTAGGTCATTGGCGCAGTATTTGGACCAAATGAATATCTACTCACTGCATATCTTTTGTCAGTCTTTCACTCCCTCCAGTTCACTTCGGTCAACAAACCTTTTTCCTGGCTTTTTCTACCACTTTTGTAGGATCTGTCGGTCAACAGGAACAATGGGCTACGACAACCGTTTATAATTTTGTCAAACTGCTTCATGAAACCAAGCCGAATGTCATCACTTTCGGTATTGCGTTGCTCCTGCAGGTTTCACAACTGTCTTCCTGTCGTTGGTAAGTTTCCTGTGGTTTTCATCAAGAAACCACTTCCTCGCCCGCATTGAGTGTTCGGCCATCTGATTGGCAGTCTCCTTCCAAGCCATCAGGCCATTTTTCTTTTTTCAAGGGGGTTTTGTCTCTGTCCAGTTTTTACCAGTCATACTACGCCCGTAACTACACTAATGTGCTTTCCACTCTAATCCTCATTTCAGGTCGTGCGATCTGGCCTCACATTACGTAGCGCTGTTTGACCGTCTACGATGCAGTTTCCCACATTCATTCATATCACCTCAGGCATACTTTGGACTGGATTCTATGCCGGGGCTGACCGAGGACGAGGAGGAAGACTCTGTCCTCCTTCCTACCAATGTTCTTCAACTCCGACGCCCACCAAGTCTTAGCGTAATCACCCGACTTCATGTAACCTATGTAGAACTGCGTTTGGAGCAGTTGGAACGGGTTATCTCATTTTCTGATCCCCAGGTTCGGTAAGTTTCGACTCTGTTCCCTCATTGTACACTTGTTTTTCAGTAGGATTTTGACGTTGATATTTCTCCCTGTAGTCACAGTTGCGCTTTCAGTGCAGATATTAGTCTCACCTGTTTCTACCCAGTTGCGCTTTCAGTGCAGATATTAGTCTGTTTCTACCTATTAGCCTATTAACCTATTAGCCTACCTATTAGCCTGTTTCTACTGTCACCTCCCTCATTCACAGGGATCCGCGAGCATCCGAGGATGAACAGTTTCTTGCAAATCAAACGATATTCACCCTACTGGACACATTTGGCCTATACGGATCGAATTCATTTCAGTATCATTGCATTCGAGCCCACTGTGAGTTCCCATACTCGATATGGTTTATAAGCCTTAATTTTCCTGTTCATATTGGTCCTGGTGTTACATTGAGTTCCTTATGGTGAGCGACTGGTCAGTGTAAGTCTCCCCTTAGCTGAGCAAGATGTTATAGGTACAAAGTGGTGATAGCCCGGCTTCAAGAATGAAGTCCTTCTTGATTTGTGACTCATGAGCTGGATTCAATAGGGTCACAGCCTGGTGGTCGCAATCTCGATATCCACAGTCGCGAAAATGCTTCATTTTGGTGCATTTCGTCTGGATCTCCCCACTCGGTTGACCATAAGGCCCATTCACATCTGAGTCTAACCTGCCAGACAATTTTCCGCTTGTGAGCTTGATGTTTTCGCAGTTCAGTATTGATTAGGGGCTATCGTATTTTAAAGTCGATTGGATATCTAACCTAACCTGCCGGACAATTTTCCGCTTGTGAGCTTGATGTTTTCGCAGTTCAGTATTGGTTAGGGGCTATCATATTTTAAAGTCGATTGGATATTCTTGGCGTCGACTAATGGGACACAAATTTACCCTGCTTTCGTCTTTGTTTGAGGGGGACACTATTTTGCTCATTATTGTTCTGTAGATCTATGGATCAACTACCTCTTAAGCTCGTTGGTTCGGGACTATCAGGAAATGCGTATTTTCGCATCACTGGTGAGTTTTCCTCTTGATTGCCAGTAGTCAAGTCTTCATTCACTAGGAACTTTGAGATTTACATACGTTTTTACTTCCACATTCACGCTTAACGAACGGTTAGATCCTGCAAGTTTTCGGTTTCTCAATGTTTGTATATCCTCAGGAGAAACACAGTAGAATTGTTTATTGGGATAGTACGGGGGAGGCGCTGTACCGGAGATTCAGCTACTTTTGGGGGGTCAAGTTGGTCCACTTTTGCTGGTTGTCCCTTGTCTATGGATGGACTGGTTGTCCTGGTGTCTCTGACCGCAAATCCAAGTGTGACTGTCGGAAGTCAATTAAATGATCGGGTGTTCGGTCCATCGACGTACTCCACGAACTTGGTGAGCACTTTCTTTCTCGACATCAGCTGTGTTTTAGCCAAGTTTCGGCACGTTATGATTCGTCAACTGATGGCTTTAATGAGCAGCAATAATATTTAGGCTTCGAGGTGAGACGTTATATCAAAGAAATGACTCAGTAATTCATGCAAACGGATGTGCCTTTCAAACTAGTGTTGTTTGGTCGGTTGGGTGAAACAGGGACAGCCATGTGGCTGCCGTCATTTAGTCAGCCACGTTTGACAGCAATTCACTGCTCACCCGAATACCCATTACTGTGGCCTTTCGACTGCTGCGTCCAACCGCTTCGCCTGGCTGACTCGAGGCTGCGAACCGAAGTTCACCACCATTTGCTTATCGGTTGTGTTACTCACCGTTATTGAGTAGCTAAAAATTGTCGATTTTGTGCGAGTTCCGACCACCATATTTCACACAAAATCTGCTGCGTAAAGGAACCTCCCTGATGGAACGCTATACTGAAAGAGTATTTTGGGCATGTATAATTAAAGGCTATCCGTGTTTCACTTGGAACCTGATTATTCTTCGGCTATGCCTCTTTTGAACTGACCGCTGCCCGAGTTGTTGCTGTTGTTTACTAGGTGATTGTTCCCCTGGGTTGATTGCTTTATCTGCTTTCCCGTCAGTCAACGCTCACATGTTTTTGACATCCTTTCTTTAATGAAATCTCTTATCGGTTTAGCTGGAGGAGCTTTTGGTAGAAAACCGCCTGAAGCTGCATCGGAACTATAGCGTGTACCACGGGTCTCTAACCGTTGGTAAGTTTGCACGCCATTGACTCATTATGTCAGCGTCTATTTTGTGTGTTCTCGTCTAACAGCTAATATCTACGCTTACTCAATTCTCTTGTGCAGATTATGTGCGAAGTTTGTTAAGTGACCTCAATGGAGTGACCGAATTTGAGCAACTCAGTAATCTTGCCAAACAGGACAATCACATACAAGTTGTGAAAGATATATTGCTCAATCTGAGGAAGAAGAAGTTGGCCTTTACTGGTCACTCCAATTATTCGGTAAGTGAAGTGAATAAAATACTGATCACTTTCCTCCCAGGCAATGACAGATACCTCTGGTCACGTGAAGACTATTGATCAACTGGCTTTGTTTAGGACGTCTATCAGACATCTTGTCTTCCGAGCTGTTTCATACGAAGGAGAACCTGAGTCTATGGAACAGGATGGGAACCCCGCTGGACAGTGGCTCCTTCTTTATTCTGCTTCCGCCACTCTGCTGGACCACGCATATCAACTATGCATCCGGGAGAATAATTCAGAGATCACCTTTGGAAGACAAACCGACAGAGAGGATTTGCGAAAGTCTGCTTACGCGATTGCTTTGGACGCCATTGAGCTAATTACCATGTGGGTAGTTTGTCTGTTCCTGATAAAAAAAATTCTACATGCACTTTATTTGATTATGAATATTAGGCACCAGGATTTGAGGCTTTTAAGGTGACGCCAGTCTTTCCTATGTAAAACTTGAGCCACTGCTCATAAATTTAATCAGTTTGAATCCTGCCCCTCATCTGCTAATTCACACTGATCGGTTATAGATGTTTTTCATTTTTCCCACTAATCTGGGTCTACACATCGATGGGACGTTTACCGTTCCCGGTGAACTATTCAACTATCCGATTGGCTAAAGGCTATTCGCCGAAGTGAGCAGTACTTTTAAGATATGTTTGATGAATGAAGTCCATCATCGACAGCATGACATCAGTGTTCAACACCGATGCTTCACTACCGTGTAACCATGATTTATTTGAAGGCCTTATTGTGAAGGAAAGTGTAAAGGTGGACGGAGAAGGGACTTAGTCTTAGCTGACCACAATCATCCCGAGGTGCCTACGCCTCCAGACATTCACTCAGGCGCTCTGGATAGAAACTGACAACAAGAACGCCACTGACATCGGTTGGCAGCCATATCTTGTAGTGTCTCCAACCAGATACACTGAGGATCATGCCGTCCCCATCCTGGAAGTCGAGTAGCACCGACAGCACCCAAGGATTTCGTGATTGAAGTTCGACCTCAACTTGTTTCAACCTCACTTCAAAGCAAACCGAGCGACGCATTCGATTCACTGCAACTGGTTATCTAGTTAAACAAGATGACACTTTTCAACAGTCATCGCAGCGTTGCTGCACCCTTTCGGTTATTTTTTTCTGGTGTTGGCTCTCATGTGGTTTGTCTTGCCATTTCTGAATGTGCGGTCTTAACTAACTCGTCGGAGTTTATCATTATTTGTTACCTCCAATTGCCTCACATGATGCACCTGCTTTACTTGAAACTCTATCACTTTATCATTCTTGCATTTCTGAATGTGCGGTCTTAACTAACTCATCGGAATTTATCATTATTTGTTACCTCTAATTGCCTCACACGATGCACCTGCAACGCTTTACTTGAAATTCTATCACTTTATCATTCTTACTTTTGTTGGTACTTTTGAAGTCCCATTCAACAGCACTAGTCGCTATTTTTACGTTTAGCTGTTGGAACGAAATGGAAGCAGATAGTCAGTCTGTCGGTCCAAGCAACTCTGCACCTTCCGGTCTATGTGAAGCAGTGGCCGACGCTGGTCGATTGCCGCTTCGAATGCATCTATCCGAAACGTCGGTTGAACCTCCCCGGTGTGATTCCACAAGCGTCGCTGCGAATTCGGAAAGGACGGGTGAACTTTACATCAGCGAGGCTTGCTACGCTGTATCAGTGGTTTTGGATTTCCTCGCATGGTGTGTCCGATCACAACCCGAATTCGTCTGGTCCACTAGTCCGACTCGAGTTGTCTCTTTCGTTTTCGAACACTTGGCCTGGTCAGTCATTCTTTTTAACACTTGATGCATTTTTATTAGCACAAACTTTCTTTAATGCTGTTACTTATTTTCTTATGCATGTTTGGTCCTGGCAAACGCATGCTGATTGTCTTATCACGGCGGTGTTTTTTATTTAGTATTGGCTCACATAACGGAGCGACATATCCACTATTACCTTACTGCTAATCGGATGCGTCCCGCGTGTCACAGGATCTATTCTTTGAGGACTGCTTAATAAACAGTAGCTACAACTTGACGTGAACGCTATGATTGAGGGTCGGGTGCAGTTTGAATACACTACTGATTACCTAGAATGTTCGAACTCCATTTTCGAGGGTCACCGGTGCACAGTTGCTCTCGCGAGCATGGTCAATGATGTTTAAGTATGTGGTGCATCGTTCGAAGAAACCACTCGGTGTTATAAAGCTCAACGACGTATCCAATTCAGCCTGCAATCGGTTGGCGCACTCGGCTAACATCGCTAGTCGTTCGTAGCCAGTTTTGGCTTTCTGGCGGAAGTTGTTGTCATTTAGCTGCCCATCTTCCCGTCATCTGACAACTTTGGACAAGTTGGTCACCTCCCGTATGTTGCAATCAGTGCCGTCCATTTTTTATACAACTTTTCTTCAGGCGATCAATTTAGTATATGATAATCAAGTTCATAGTCCTTGAAGAATGGGTGTGCTGGTGACGGCGGTTGACTCTTTTACGGGATAGACTTCATCAAAACTGGGATTTAGAGTGCAACAGCTCGATCATACAATCAATGGGGCTTCTTTTTCTGACCTGTCGGCTTCAGTGTATATTTTTTCTCATCTTAATGGCAGTAGAAAGGTGTGGCAATACACAGCCATGGATCTTCTAGGCGGCACCTGCGACGAGAGAGAGAGACCGAAATATTAGAAAATTATATTACGCAGACACCAATGACCTTTGCAATGATTGTAGTTCTGCCTTTGGTGTTGCTTTTCATCGTTCGCATCGTCTACCTCAAACTTCTTTCTCCACAGCATTGAACAAAGTGTTCCAACGGCCCTTCTCCCCGTGGAACTGCAACCTCTAACCCCGAACCATTCAATAGAGAGTGACGTCACTCAGCCAACCTATAGGCTCCAGTTACTTTGTGGAACAGCCGCCGCGCCCCCAAGTCTTGCTTGGTTACATATAGCACATCATTTGTTGCATATCTCGTACAAGGGAAGTGGAGAACGTTTGGAACCTTTGGCTTTGTTGCGACAGATTGTCATTCGAACGCGTATCCTCTTGGATGCACAGACTGCAAACTGGGGCGGCCAACAAGCGGAGCTCTTGAAACTCCATACGGAGGAGCAACCTGACATGAGATCGAAAGAGCAAGATGGGGCTAATTTGAACGCCGAACTGGAGGAATCGGTGACGGTGGGGAACAATGATGATGAAACAGTTGCTTGTGTGGACGAGCTAGACTTGCTGCGATCGTGGCCTTGTGGTGTTGTGAGTATTAATCAAGTCCTTGCTCAGGCACTTCATTGTCTGCTACCTACTACTGTGCTGGCAGATGTGAATAGTTCTGTGGCTACTTACGACCCAAATGCGAGCGAAGTTCTATTTCAAGTGGATCAGCTGCAACAGCATCAGCAACAGTCTTCTTCCCAGCCTGCCCATTTGGGTCAAAGTCGTTCATGTGCCGCCCACCTATTCCAACGGGTTCCATTATGGACGCAGTATTTGAGTAAGCTGTTTGTACAAGGCCAACTATCTGACTTCTCAAGGCCCGTGTCTTCGTCTAACAACCCTGCTGCCTGGTGGGTAACCGATCGCTCGGTGTCCACAGATTCTAGTTCTGAAAGAAAAGTAAGTGTATCTCTCTCCCTAATGCATCAGGTTGTTCGAGTATGCCAAAGATAGGTCCCTACTTTATGTCTACTCTGCTTTTTTCTTCAGATTTTGGACTGGAGTTGTATGCAGACTGTGTTCTATTTCTGCTGCCCCAGCATCCTGCCTGAGTATGACAGTGTGAAAACTCTGTCAATCACATCGGAGGTCAGTGTCCCAGTGTTTCATTTCTTGTCTCTTCCTGTATTTGTTCCGTGGCCCATGATCCTCGGAACTGCCAAATATATACCGGTCAAAATCGAGGTACCTGGGTGGTTAAGATGCGCACCTAATGACCGAAGGTCCATGGTTCGAAGCTATTCTCTACTTGTCGACTGGTCGTGTTTGGTCACCCTGGCAGTGTCCCAGTCCCCATGCTTCCTTTGGGTGGCATGGCACCCATGCACTGAAAGATTCTTACATTTGGTCGACCATTTTTACTAATAAAACTGTTTATCGAGATTTTTTCATGAACTTGGGCGACGTTCTTTTACGTTGTGAAGGACGAAAAACCACTAGTTTACAACCTGCCTTCAGATAAAACACCAAGATGTCCAAGCATTGGCTCGGGGCAATACAAGAACCATTAGTTCGTTCGTCTGTTCACGATGCCCGGAAAATTCCGTGCTAGTATTGACTCACCGTTCGAGATTCTGTCCGTCTGATGCACGGGTTATGTTAACTCGACTGGAGCTGAGACGTTTGTGACTGAAATGCCCAGCTTGGAGATCAAGCGAACGGGTATCTATCCATGCTACCTGAACTGCCAACATCTTCCTAAGTAGCAAACTTAAATGACACATTTTCCGTGTTTAGACTTTTCGGTGTCTTTCCAAGATGTGTTGATGTGTCCCGTTTACTGGGCGTGTGAATGCTGAGGCGACTATTCCATATAACCAAGAATTACCGGAAAACTTGCCAAAGTCCATAACACTGGAGGTTCTGGTCACCAGTGAAGCCATGAATTCATGAATTCATCAACTTGGAGTTTGCACTTGAAAGCGGTCCCTACATGCGCTGGCACTCAACTCCTGAATTCATGTTACTCTCACATCCTCAATCGGTGTTTAACCAATGGCGTACTGATCCATGATAATTGGGTTTCCCTCTCGCTACAAGGTCGCCGATTTCTTTCAAAAGAGTACTCTTCACCGGATCTGCAATCTCACTTACACTCACAATGGGAGTCTTTTAAGCAATCCTTTAGTATCTCTGGTCATTTAAACATGAACAAACTGACGTTCACTCTCGGATTCGGTCGCTACAGATTCGCCGGTTCATATTTCCATAATGTGTGCAGTTCACACACACGGTAGAAATGGCCCAATCGAGAAGTCAACAGCGCTACTGGATCAAAGACATCGCCTTATATGAGCAGCCACCCAGTTCCTGAACTAACCCACTATGTCATCGCCTCCAAGGCTTGGCGAATACCGACTTCGAATAGGCAGACACCGGTGTCAATTGGCTTCTCATACACTGTGCTTTCCAGTTTTTCCCGGACCTTATGTGTCTAAGAATGACTTCGTCTCCATACTAAATTTGACGTGTGGATTCATATCATTCACATAGTTGTGAAACTTACTGACCTTGTCACGTTTCATCACAACGAAAGTGTCATCTACATAACGTCAGAATATCTTAGTTGGGTAGGGGAATCCGGATAAAGTTCTATGTTCAAATTCTTCCATAAATGTATTTTCCAAAACCAGGGATATTGGAGATCGGATTGCTGGACCTTGTTCTTGAGTGTAAACTGCTGAGCCAAAAATGAAAAGAGCTAACCTTCCCCAAAAATGTTACTATCTTCATGTCCTAGTCGATCTTTGTAGACACTATTTCGTGTAGCAGATAGAGGAAACCAACCCAGGGTGGCACACTCTTGGCCATTGTGGTGAACGCGGGTTTTTGACTATTGAAACTCTGTTGGCATTGTTAACACCTTTACATTTGTGGTTCCCTGGAATGTCGTTGACGGGTTGGGAACACATGACTTGCGCTATTACTCTCATGTAACGAAGGATTATGTCTGGTGGAGTCACACACGTGTTTTCTTTGTTGTTTCCCTCGATTTCGAAACTTCCGTTCACCCAAGGACACTTTTTGATAGTACATAACAAAGTGGACTTGGGAGGGCTGGGGCTACTGGTGATGTGTGTTCTTATTGAAGGGACCTAGAAAACCGATTACATCACAAAAGTAGACCCACAAAGCATCCACTGATCAACACCGGGACTTACGTTATGAATTAAAATTGTCGAAGCTAACCATTCGTGAGACCAATGACGTTTTAAGATGCAGGCCGAGTGGTTGCCTGCAGTCGTAAATGCACAGGGTTTAAGAAACGCATTATTCTCAAGCGTATCCTGAACTTTCCACGGGGTCTTTCGACTATTTGGTGTCAGTAAGTAAAGTTGTTTGAAAACTTTAATAATCTCCAAATCGATTAGGCAACGGACGGCGGTTTGAACTACTCTAAACAGAATGTTACTAATTTTCTCAGTAGTATTCGCCTTTATAATGATTCCGGCCACTCACGGCGAGCATTTACGTTCATCGTTTACACTGCTTTGTCGATTTTGTGAGATGATCCGTTTTGAACGCGTCTTTTGTGTCAGTTGGCAACTACTTATAAGCTGGGTGTCAACAGACTTATGCCAACTATGCCTATCCGTCCATAGGTGTCAATTAATGGCTAACAGCGTTGTTTGCTTACTTCATTTCAATCCTCGTGGGATGTCCTTGTTTTTACAGGTGCTTCAGTTACTACTTGAAACATGCAAGATTTTGCCCGCGAGTGAGGAAGCGTGTCTGCTTCATCCGAACGAAGTGGAACTTATGATGCAGACAAAAGTGCCCGGCTCGCTCGGTCTACCGGAACAGCCAGCAAATCTTAGGTAGGTGGGGTCTCTCATCGATTTTCGACAGGTCTGCGTCGCATTTTCCATTTTTTTGCAAACAAGCGAGCTGACATGTTTATTTTGTACATCCATGGTGGGATGCGGCGAAGTTCGGCATCTATTCAATTGCACCCTGGTACCAACGTGTTATGACCTATAAATTTTTACGCAGTGTCATTCGTGCGACTGGGACGATTCCGCTTTGATGGTCTTCGAATGCGACCACAGTGTGACACACCCCTCGTATGTGATAAATTAGGCGATCAACGTAGGCCCTCAGTATCGACTGTTGATGAGCGCGTGAATGTGGTGGTCTAGTGGACGATTTCGAGACCTTGTTTCTTCAGTGGTGACGGCGGCTGTTGGCAGCAACCTTCTTTTTGTGAGGCACACTCGAGTGTATAATGATTGAACATGCCACAAATTTACTCACACATCATTCCCACAATAGAGGAACGAAAAGCCACGTAACCCACGACCCCTTTTGCTATTCCAGTGTGTGGCCTGGTCGCATAAACTTAAGAAACAGCCTGTGAGCTGTGCGTGGCTGAAACACTATCGTATGTGGCAGTGTGCCTGTTTCGGATCGCGTTGGCATAACAGGTTTTTCACGATTATCATCTCGGTGCTAGGTCGGTGCTTCCGCATTCGTTACCCTGCTCATTATTGTCACATTCTACTCAGTATCGGTTTAGTTATTGAAGTGAACTCTGAAAACTTGCCTCGTGTTCGTGTCGGACTTCCCTATGCTCGCCACTCATGTGGTTGGTCTGGTCATTCGGTATGATTCCTTTGTTCAGCTCCATTTCATGGCGAACGAGTTTTGATGAGGGAAAATTCGAAACCGAGTGATGACTGCCTTCTTCGTCTGTTCCTTCCTTCCGTCCGTTGACAAGAATTCAACAGAGTGCTGGCCGAAATAGTCCAATCAAATCGCCTTCTGCCTATTGATGTGGAAGAAGCGCTATCGAGAATTTCGAAACAGAATGTAATCTCCAAGCTGCGTCGTTCATCGTCGTGCTGCGTGATTAAATGTATTTGTTTGATTGAGCCATAGATCCTTCGTCAGTAGTGGTTCGGATGTTTTATTCTTTCACAAATTCCATAGTCTCACGTTTATTTTGGTGAAACTAACACCGAAACAGCCGCACAGTCACAGGTTGGTGCCGCCACATCTTTGCGGTTCTGGCAGCAACAGGTAGGATTATCAAATTTAGTCGACCAATGCTAATCTTTCGTCGAGCTACGCCCAAATTCGGTGTGCAATACCATCCAACAGTGTCTGCCTATTCGAAACGGCCGTTTTTACCTGGTCCCTGTAGGGAACTGCACTCTACTACACTTCTTCATGACTGGCTTAGTAAATGAGAGACAACGTTCGATAGGGCAGGTCAACTCGTCTTGCTGTTGAATGGTATCTCTGTAGGTATCTTCGTTCACATTCTTCACTTTTCTGTCACTCAATGCTATTCTCCATCGATGTGCTCTTTCAGTCCGATGACCAAACTAATGTACTACCTGATCGCCGACTATTACATGAAGAACAACAATTTCGAGTAAGTTGTTTAGGTGCTGTCTCTAGTTTATTGATTTTCCGTTATACATATCTGAGAAGCGACCTTCATCCTGACTAGCGTTAACTGACTAGCGCTAACTAGCATTCACTGCGTGATCATCTACTACTTCACATGTGTTTCAGATTGCGAAACCCCACAGTCTGTCGTTCTTGTTTACCGGCTCCCTCCTTTTACGTTGACGTTAGTTTGGGAAGCACGGTTAAAGTCATCAACCTGTTGTTTTTGTGACGAACGTCAAATGTGAATCAAAAGGTTTTGCCATGCCTCCTACTATTCAAATCTAGTAGGTTTATATATTACTGAATGACTAACTAATGGGGCTGCGTTGCTCGTATAAGAATGCTCCTCCTTTGTCCTTGGTCTTGCCACGGACTACGTTCCATTGAGGCTTTCCTCGATCGGATGCACATAATTAGCCTAAGGATTGCCAGAGTCGCTGACCGTCTTAGCCTACCTAGGGGCGAGACGGCCCATGTGGTTAGAGCGCGAATTTACTGACCGGAAGGTCCGTGGTTCGAACCCGACCTCTGCCTCTCGACTTCCCCTGTCTAGGCTTGTGCAACCTGGCAGTATCTCAGCCCTCGTGCAACCTACTGGTGGCATGACAGCTAGGCGCCGAAATGGTGCTACAGCTGAACGATTTTCTTCTAGGTAAAGTTCATTGACAAATACGCTCAGCCGAAATGGTGCTACAGCTGAACGATTTTGTTCTAGGAAAAGTTCATTGACAAATACGCTCAATCAATATTTGTTCAATGAACCTACGGCCAGCGACGGTCATCAACATTTCGGCGGGCTCTGGTTATTGTCTCCTATACCCACTTCAATTGCTTGCAGAATAATAAACGTATCGTTCGTGAAACTGGCGTTTTTCCGGTTAAGTCTCACTGCAATGTAATGAAATAGTGAAAAAGAGACTTTTACTCGACCAGCTCGATGCTCCATTCCCAGATCAACTGCCATCCGATCAGCCACCAGCAACATGTTTGAGCTTTGGGGACTACAGCGAATCAGCCGTGATATTTGATTGTCCTCAGTTTTTATCATGGCTTCAGTGTGAAGTAGAACGACTTATGCACGCTCTGTCGCCCACCATTTATTCATTCTGTTACTTCTCACCGGCATCCAGTCCTAAGTTGAAACCAGTTTTGATCGTAAGCGCCGTTTTGATCAACCCAATACGAATCAGTTTTCAGGAGAATTAATTTTTGGTCTTTCAGTTAGGTTCCACAGAGCACAACAGTTTTCAATTCCGAAAATGCAGAGATACTCCTAATCCCTATTACAATATTTTTAATTCTTTTGATAACCTCAAGTGGCGCGGTCGAATACTACCTGAAAGATCTTCGTGCCTGCCCGCAACGCAGCGATACTTGGGCCGCTCTTGCTCTAATCTACCACAGCGAGCTGGAGCAGATTGTGAATCTGGTGAGTCGTGGTTTCAAGGATGAACAGTCGATTTTTTCAGATTTTCTCGGTTTAGCCCAGGTGTCGAAAATGTTGAAAATTTTATTATTAGCGATGAATCAGATGATTATTCCCAACTTTTTCACTAGTCCAACCGAAGATCTGATAGTTACCAAATCGTTGCCACGTAACAGACATAAGTATCACCAAATAACTGCTATTCGAGCCAGTACCATGGCGGTCCAACTACCCTTGTCCTAAGTATCTTTCCCCTTTACTGCTCTGATCAACACATTTCGCCAGTTAGTTTCCGGGAACAGCCGCAGCTACAGGGATTGCGTCCTTTTTCCTCGTCTGGAAAGTCCCGTGTGATAAAGTGTACTGTAGTCGAAAGCTCACGAAGAATGCTAGATGGTCGGGCCGTTGCCTTTTCTCCAATTCTGGAGGTAGAAGTATGCAATCGGTATGAAATCTACTAGTCAGTCATAAAGCGGTTTTCCTCATTCTGTCTTCTCACTATGGTGTGGAAATATATGGACAAATCCTGAGAGATATTAATATGAACTTCCTGGACGTCAAGAGTCTTATAATTACGCCCATGTATACCACTTCGGTGTGGACTAATCCCGGCGAGACCGGATTAGTTTTTCCTGAATTCCAAAGGTCTTATTTAGCGACAAACAATCTACTAAAGTATTTCCGCTCTTGCATGTTTGACAAAGGCGATCACGGTTGGTGGACAGGTTGAAACAGCTTGCAACAAGTGAACTTGTGCCGAGGACGTTGTACCGTATTGGAGAGGGATTGTTAGTTCAGTATCCCCCCTTGAAAAAACAGGTTTACGGGATTCCGAAATCTGTCCTTGTGGGCGGGTGACATTAGAATCTCATCACACGCGTGTTGCTCAGAGATAATCGATTAGATCTCTTAGTTTTTCTAATCCGTTTTCGTCATGAATCGTTTTTTCCTCTTAGGAAGTGTGTTCATGACAGACGCAGTAGCCCAACATGATATACCTGTATTGTGGCCGACAATTCTCATCATTTTGATCATTACAAAGTACTCTTCCACTTGTTCAAACTTTGTTAAGGATAGTCGAGAAAGACTATTCGCCACGAATGTTCGTTCTCATACAACAGGGGAACCAACGGCTTTCATCTGGAGTTCGATAGTTATCGAATTCTGTGCGTTGTTCCCTTGTAACATCATGGTTCATCATGTTCAGTCGGCGTTTAGCTGTGGTCTTTTGTACTTTTGGCATACCGAATTGGTGCATGGAATATCCAACCCGGTGTTTTCACTTCTTATCAACCCAGACCAGTTTGCGAACCGAACGAGTCTCGCCCGACGCTGTGTCACGTTGCCTCCGTTGTTTTACCGTCTCGCTCTTACTGTTACCTAATGCAGTCACGCTGTTCATCGAACGTGGTTGTCTCACCTATCAGTTGCATTCCTATTCGGCTCGAATGGTCAAAAAGGTAGGTAATCTTGTGTTTATTAGCTTTCCATCCATTCAACCCTTGCGGCCTTAAAGCGCCTTTTTAGAAGAGGTTTAGCTGTTTATTCGGTCGTGATACGACTTAACACTCGTATTTTTTTTCATAATTTCCAGTCAGTCAGTCGAACTTTTCCTGAAGCACATTTGAATCTTTGTCGCAAATGGCGATATCGCATGTTACGAGTGGCGCGTTCCTCTTATACCGAGGTTCTGGCCCTCGCTCGCTCAATCCCGTCGACTGGCAATTCACCTTGTGAAGCTGTCGACGGTGTTCACGAGTCGCGGCCAACAGTCGACAGTCCGAGATACAACAAACAAGCCACCGAAGAGGAATGGTTGTGCCACTACATGCTGGCAAAGTGTTCCGAAAAAGAAGCCAATTTGCTGGTGGCAAATGACCCTGAAGCACGTGGGATCGCACAGTACCTGCTCGGTGTTCTGCAAGCATACAATGGAGCGTTGGAAGCCTTGGATGCTGCTGGGGCAAAATACCCGAAGAAGATTATCGTCTATCACAAACTGCCGTTTCGTGCGGTGGAAGCGATCGAAGTACGTGTGCTTTTTGTTTGGACTCCTGTGCGGGATTTATTCGTTAATTTTGAAATAGATGAATTTGTTTTTACCGGTTTTGTGGAGTGCATTACTTAGTAAGGGAGAATTCACGGATGGTTTCCAGACCGGTTGGGAGGTTGAGGAAACACGAAGGCGAAGATTGTTTCAGAGTTGTGTGATTCTGAGCCAATGAGGAAGAGCAATACCTGGGACCATGGAATTTTCCCGAGGTGGATTTAACTGGAGGTGGGAAGCTGAGTTGCACTTCGGAACGGCTTAGGATGTGGGACAGGAGAGACGAGTTGTAGAGTGCTTGCCGTGGGCGACATCCAGACAGCGGGAACTAGGTTTGCAGCCATCCGTAACGGTGTGTAAGGCGGCGGTTGGAAGTGGATAGAAGGACGCCCGTCTCGATATAGTGTAGCGTGCCTGAGATCTTGGATAGGTGAACTGAAGTGAGATTGTATGGGATGTGACTTCTCAAAATCGAGCTGCGTTTGTAGTGAAGATTGAGACGGGTTTGTGGCGGGGAACAGGGTTTGAAGAGGTTCACTTTAACAGCACTTGATGAATACCAATCCAAATTCTCACCAAGTGCAGATGGCCTGCATCTGGTTGTCAAATAAGTGAAATCAGACAAATCAGCGATGTTTGCGTGGGGTGGGTTTTCGAATGACTGAATCGTCTAGAAGGAGGCAGGATTTGTATCATGTATGCACGGTTGATAACGTGGAGCACCTGCATTGACCCCACCATTCTTAGAAACAATATCTACGCAGCGAACTTTAAGATTTTTTTCAATTCTGTAGATCAATGTCAGATTCACAGGGTTACGTAGATAAACGCTCATTTTTTCCGGAGCATATCGATGAAATACTGTGACTGTTTTTGGTGTGTGTGTGTGTGTGTGTTGGGGGGGGGGTGGAATTTCAAGGTAGCAGCACACAACTAGACTAAGCATGAGACTTGTCCGTGATGTCACGTGGTAGGCATCTGGTCGAGTTCATTGTTGCGGTGTATCGCACCGTCCAGACACCCGTTACAACTCGATTTAACGTTCAAGTGTTGGCATCCTGGATTGTTGAAAGTGATGTAAGCATCGAGTGGATCATTCCTGGATGACTCTGTGCAGATCACAGGCTTTCTTATCCCGGCAATATTGCGTATTAAGTTTGATAACGTGTTGTGCCATCAGAAAGCAAACTTGATGCTAAGCGTGACTCCAACCTGGTTTCATCGTTTAATGTTGGAACTCTGAAACATTCCCTATCTCTAGTCTGATGGATCCCATACCGCAAATGTTGAGACGCGAAGGAACTTACTGTTCATTTGGATCATTTATGCTGGCACCCACGACTATCGACACTTTGTCTGAAACGAACAGCCCCATTTTTGGGCCTGGATTCAACATTTGCCTTATTTCCGGAACCACGTTTTTCTCGTTTGTTTTCCACGAAAGGTATTCTATCGGATCCACGCCTTGGCTCTGAAAACCCTACTCCATTATGGTCCACCTAGTGAGGCAGAAGTTGATCCTGGACTTGACCAAATTCCACTCCACAAGCTTCTGGAATTTTTGACGAAGCTGCAGTCGTCCGAATTTGTTGCAGGCGCGGGCAAGCCACGGTGAGTTTGATGAATTTTGGAATCACGTAGGGCCACACTCACTCCTAGATATCCGTAGTGTTTGGACTAAGTGGCCAATTGATTAGCCTCCACTAAATGGCCCTCTCGGAGACAGTGTTTCGGTTCCTTATATGGTCCGAAAGTTCCGTCAATCTTCGTTCATATTAGTGCAGTTTTTCTCGACTTGGTTAACAAAGCGTCCACTTTTGCCTTCTCCAGTCGAAGCAGGAAGCGTCCTGCCAATTCATCCTCCTTACAAACCAAAGGTAGTTGTGTAGGACCTCCTCCAAAACAAATCTGTGAGGCCTCCTTAGTGCCATCAGAGAAGGCTCCACATCCAAGGGAGGCATCGCAAGCAAAGAACGCACCAACATCCTCGGAGATTACAGAGCGCAATCGAGTAATTATCGAAGAGCTGGCGACTTTGTCTTCGCAAGACGACTTCATTGATCTTACATCGGCTGCGAATTCTCCGGACGAAAATAACTCTCCGGAACCAGAACATGCCACCGCAGAACAGAGTCCGCTAAGTGAGTAATCTTGTTTATTGTTCCGGGTGTGTACCATTCTGCGACTGTATTCGCCATGCCTTCTGTTCCTCATCATCGGTCTTCTTCTCCCATAGCAATCTGGAAAGAATGTGTGGCTCGATGTCGTTGCGCATTGGAGCTCGTGCTGCAACGTCTTCCTTTGCACTACAAGGCCATGTACAGACTGGCTGACCTTTACTGTCGAGCTCCTCATCTCAAGGTAAGTGTTGTGTGTCTGAGAGAGTAAAGCATGGTTGATCACCATTAGGGTTGATGCCTTCGGCGATGAGTATGACTAGTGCTTTTAGCTAGTCACCTTCCAGACTGAAGGCATGTGAGTAGGTAGCCTTTCCCGTAAGACCCATAAAGACTAGTGCTGCTTCAAACGGTTCATCAAATTTTCCAGTGACTCAATGTTGTCCTGCTGCATATTATAACATGTTTGTACTTTGACCGTCGTTCAGAAAATCGCTTTCCTAGGGGCGAGCATGTCCTGGTAATCAGTATCCACAGTATAGCTGAAAAAATCAGAGGGTTAGAACAATCCTTTCATAGACCACCAAGAAAGGATATGGTGGTTTTAGTTATCTCAACGTTATTCTGCTTGAGATTTTACGCTAGTCTGCCTCCTTTTATGCACTCCCTTCTGGTGAGTTCTCTCTCTATTTGCAGGACTTGGACAAGGCCCTGAGTATCCTTTTGGGTCCTTTGGACGAATCTACCAAGCCAACGGTAGGAGGACTTTTCAAAGATAGGAAACAAAATAACTTTTTCCATGTAAGTCCTCTCACTTGTCAAATTGGAATTCGCCTTAATAATCTCTCACCTAGGGCGTATGGCGAATACCGACGGCGGACATTGACCGAAGCGGCAATTTCGCAGCACACATGTATCGGTCTGTCAGTCTTACCTTGGTTTTGCTGTACGAGAAAGGCGACTGGCGTCATTTGGTTCACATCTTCCACCAGTTGCGCAAACAGCCTCCAGAAGAGAAGTAAGTCGTTTTTATGTGAGCTCTCACCAGTAATTGAGAGTTAGGTTTGATACAATGTCTCCGAGGGAAACGGTAACGTTTTCTGCATCGTCAGCTTGCGAAGGTTTGCTTCAGTCTCCCCAGTTTGTTGTACGCTGAGCTGCTTGCTGTTGCGGTGTGGCTCCCATAGGGCGCACGATCCGATAACTATCTGGACGTGGATTGAAGCATACTCATGTCGCTCGGATGAATACTGTTAGTGTTAAGTCGGGATGTAACGCCCTCATATTTTTGTGATACAAACCACCAGGCGGGCAAACGGCGTTTTCCGACTTTATATAATTGAGTCACATAAATGGAAGCTTTAGGGAAACAGTTTGTTCGCTAACCTGTCCACTGATATCCTAAGAGTAAATTTCCCATATTTTCATTGTTGTATAGGTCATATTTTCAAGTCAGTACCGCTTGGCGTACTGACTCATTTCTTCTACACTCTGCATAAATAAAACTCTTACCTTAGACGCGGTTTCCTGGGCGAGGGTGATCGCGTTTTTCTGGCTCGGCGAGCATTCACTCTCATCCGGCCCACTTTGGTGACGTGGTTGACGCAACTTTCTCAGTCGTTATCGACCAGCTTCGATGATTTGCTAAAGGCCACTTTGGCGGGAAACGTCCCTGCGCCAGACGCTTTCCACGGACCCCAACGATTAGGATTCGTCACTACGGAGACGCTGACACAAATCTACCGGCTACACTGCGTATCTTTTTCACGGAACTCGTCGACAGGTGGTTCTCCCAGACCGGGAACTGAATCGAAGGAAGCCAGTCTAGTCTGCCAGAAAACAGCTACTGTTGAAGCGGTTGAACTTTCCGGTTATGCCGATATCCTGAGCTTGGCGTTCCGGTTTTGTCCGATGGCTTGGGTAAGTTGGGTAGTCCACAGGTTGCAAACAGTCTGCAAATGTTCATGGGTTTGGGTGTTTACAATCCTTATATGTCCCCTCGTTCATTCCCGCAGGACTCCCGTGGCCCGGATATCCCTCTGGAAGCTATTCTAAAACGTTGTGCGGAGCTCACTAACTCAAGGCCACCGGCTGCATCGGTTCATCCGAGCACGTCAAGCCGACCCGATTCCAATCGAGCACCGACCGTTGCACCCACTTCCCGCGTCCCATAGATACCTTGTTGACCTTGAGGTCTATCTTGTGCATTTATTTGCATACTACTTCTCCATCCCCGGTGCCATCAGTCCTTCGTCTTTTTGTATATTACATTTCAACTATTTCTAACAATATACTTCATTTCCATCATTATGTGTTGCTCTAGCAGTGATTTGGGCTTTCGGAGAAGTAATTTATCCAGAGATTGACGCCTGTGTCTCATTGGTCTTTTCATCCTCAGCATGCGCTTCATAATAACTCGGCTGTAACAGAGATGTTCCATGGCTGTTTATATTTTGAACGCTGTTCATCGTTGAGAAGAGATGTAGTAGGGAGAATTCGCGGACGATGAGTCGTATTGGTTATTGAGTTCAACTCACTTTTCTGTGTGAACTCGGTATCTTTTTACACCAAGCTCCACTTCTGGCCACTAGTGAATCACAACGATAGACCTGTATGACTTTTGACAACTACTCTAATATTGGCGGCACCTGTCCACCGACTATGGTGCTCCGTAAACAAGCTTGTAAACAGACTTCTGGAATGAATTTAAGGAGGGTAACATTTTCGAGAAATACACTAATTCGCAAATCAATTTGGTTTTCACGGGAGGCTCAATTGAATCTCACGTTTATGATGTCCCCCAACTGAAAGTGCTGTCGTCTCATGATTCATTTGGCACGATATTCGAGATATCGCAGTATATTTTCATAAAGGAAACTACTCACAAGGTTGCTGAAAACCCTTCGAGGGCCCACGACCGGTTTCGCCCTTATTGGGGCTCATCAGGTAGGCGCAGATCATAAGGTTGACAGAAACTCGGGGACTGCGCCTACCTGATGAGCCCCAAGAAGGGCAAAACCGGTCGTGGGCTGTCTAAGAATTTTCGGCAACCTTGTGAGTAGTTTCCCTAATGAAAAAGGGTAACATTCTGTTTTTGTGTTCGTGGGGAACAGGCTAACAGCTTTCCGAAGCGGAATTCGGCTTCCAATTTGGAATCGTCCATATGGGAGTCGAATTCTGGTCGTTTAAGGAAATAAGCAAATACGTGAGTTCATCCACTGGGATGTAGTACAACGGCTTTCAAGCATTTCCGACCTAGGGTTTTCCCGTACCACAGCCCTTTTCAGTTTTGGTTAGAAATCGATATTACTTCACCTTTTTCCGGGTTACCAAGACAATGGGATCACCAAATGTCAGAATTCTTGGTGTTTCAGTCTTCAATGAGAACAAAAAGGCTTTTTATGTTGGAGTGTTCTTGGTGTTCAGTCTTCAATGAGAACAAAAAGGCTTTGGAGTGTGAAAAATTACGGATTAATTCGCCTTTGAACCCCCTATTCACCGATCTCAACTATGTTCTCGGAAACGCTTTGCAGAGGTGCTGGCACTCACCCGTGTCCAAATGTTCACAACTTTATCCAATGGGATTCTCGAACTCTGACGAAAAAATTTGATCTTTGATTTGAGTGACCTCACATCAATTTGTCGATTAATTTTCTATCACCTGTAGAATTGCACTCGTTTGTGCGTGACTGCATGAATTCTCTCCACTACCCTTTACTATGTACGGGGCTGGAGATGTTTTGGTAGTTAAAATATAAAAGTACTGGCCGAAATGTCCGTGATTCAAATCGAGTCTCCGCATCCCGATTGCTTCTTTCTAGGCTTCGGTAGTCTGCAATATCTCAGCTTTCTTGGTTCCTTCAGGTGACGTGGCAGCTATGCACCGAAGGAGGCGTTAGAACTGAGTGTTTCTACTGAATCCCGAATTCCTGAGTCGTCGTCATTCGCGCTACAAGACTCTAAAACGTGTGGCGGTGGGAGAAGTTAAATCATCACAAACATTCTTCTCAAGTGGTCTTCCTGTGTTGATGCGTAGATTGTCTGCGAAATGTGTTGTCAAACTCACATTGAATCGTGTGCAGAAAAGTTGACGTATTTGCAAAGACTTAGTCAGCCGAACTCCAACTTCCCAAATGACTTCGGTGAGCGTATTTATGATGATGCATATTTGACCTCCCCTTGAGCATAGTTTTGCGCTATTTATGCGGAAGATGGATGCCGAGACCCGGTTTGGAAGGTCTGACGGTCATTTCCAGGGTTGCTATGCCAACCATTCTGTGTAGGTCATCAATACAAATTATCTGAGGCAATGCGCGGCAGCTGGATATTTATTTAACATTGGCAAACTTATTCGGTCTTAGAAACCGCAGGGTGATCATTATTAGAAAACCAGTCAAAGGAGCGTATGTGGTGGTCTTGCAACATTTTAACGAGAAACTGGAATCGATCTCGTGTGGGAACGGAAATTTCCAGTTGCTGCCGAATAGGAACGACAATAGAACACCAGTGGAAGGTCATCTGACAGATTGTATAAAAGGACTGCACAGTAATGATACGATGAGTGCGATACACTTGGAATAACTTGGATCTACGGTGACAAGCATTCTGCGTCTCTTTGGTCCCCTAAAATTAGACCTCCGACTATGCAGAATTCTATGTACCACAACAGTGCTAAATGGTCATGTGAAGATCCTGAACCTTAGGTTCGAAGCCTAGCATGAGAGTTCATTCTGACCTCTATTCGCAATGGCACCTGTACACGAAAACGTCTGTGATTTTTTGTTGATTTTACTGATGTAATTACTATTCACAGTGATTGCTTTTTATGTAATGTCATCCAGAACAACCAGCTGCCTGCCGTTTTATGTAGTGATAACTTGGACAGACCAGTTTTAAGCTGATTATTGAGGTTATCGTTACGGAGTCACGCGCAGGTTCGGTTTGAAAACAAGAATTGGGTTAGAAAGTCCATGACTGTAATAATCTCGCAAAGTTAAGGAAACTTGCACACTCGTCAAAAATTGGGCACGTCTGTGACTGACCGAAACGTTGGCTCGTTAGTGTGCCGATTAGCTGTGCGGTCACTCGGAACTCACGACAGAACACGTCAAGGCATCCCCTTACACGCTGCAGTCAATGACATGCACCTAGCCGCCCAAACTGTCGGACCGGGCAGCCTTTGCGGCAAGGTGAATGGCGGGTGCGGTGAGCAAAACAGGTTCAGATCAAAAGTACAGAGACGGAGTAACCAAATGAATGAGAGGTTTAGAGTCATTATTGAGGTTCCTGATACGGAACTTTGAGTGACGCGTAGGTTCGACAATCCCGAATATCAAAAGGAAGAATCGGGTTCGTAATTCTACGTTACTCTGTACACAAGGGTAAACAAATGTGTACAACATCAATTATTCACGTTCGTAGCGTGAACAAGTTCACAGGTCTGTCACTGAGCGGCACAGTGCAGTGTCAATGTCCGCACACCAAACAACGGCGAACCGAATGATGACTCAGTAGCGTAGGTTGCGGTCGGCCGTTTCGACGACGATCTCGTGATTCTCATTGGCGGTGCGATCACACGGAGAAAACAAGTCAAGGCAGGCTCAGAAAACGGGATGCGAAAGCGCATGAGTAAGTAGGTCAGCAGCGCACTTTTACACACAGACAGGCGTCAATACGCCGGTTCGGAAAGGACGGCCTCTGCGGCAAGGTGAGTGGCGGGTACAGACAAGTAAAACAACTGAAGATCAAAAGTACATGGGCGGGGAGGCAAATGAATAGAGTAATTATCATGAGGCCAAGTTAGATTCAACAATCATGTTAGGTCCCATTCAATGCGCTGCATATTCAGTTTCTGTTCAACGGAGTGTTTTTATTAACACGGACGAAGTTGCCACAGTCTCCGTACTTGCCAGTATACTCATCCGGATCATCCCATTGGCTAGTGAAATAGAAAAACCACGACTTTCAAGTTAACTATATCCTCGAAGTTTTCCTGATACGTGACGAGGCACCGTCAAATACTTCATTCATGTATGAGCTCGGAAAGGAAATCTAGCAGTACATTTCTGATGTTTTACTGATTCCAACATACCCACATTAGAAGAAGCGTGCCCCTTTAAAACTATACGCATTAGAGGCTTCATTCCCTGAGAATAAGCCGAATCTTGCTATGGTGTCTTTCCAACAGAGCTAGGAATATGTCTGCAGAAAACATGTTGGCGTGGAGTAGCAATCCTTCATGACAGGTTTGGGGAATATAATTGCAGACACATTGCCGGCCAAAATTCGCGAACCATGCTTCTCAGTCATGCTGCGCACTTGAAGCTCGAAAACAATACCTAGGCCTGCTTTCGGAAAGTGGCTAAGTCAGTGAAGGCCTGGCCCGAAAATTTGACAAGGCCAGTGGAAAAACATCCATTGCGGCCAGACTGAAGTGAAGATGCCACCACTGGCCATCTATCTAACCAGACAATACGTGAAGTACAAAATCCGTCAACACTCCACCTCCATTTGTTTGTCAGTTTATCTGCTCCTGTGAAGGTCGAACAGCGGTGCGTTTGTCTACACTGATGTCCGATTAAATTTTGACAATGTTTCTCAAAGGATAATTGAGATGAGCCTCAAAAAGGGCGAAACCGGTCGTTGGTTTCCGAAGATTTACAGCAACCTTGTGGGTAGTTTCTTTTATAATAATTGAGTTCAGTTCGTTATAAGCCCACTGTTTTGTTCCCGATATGGATGGAACTCTGGGTAATGCGTAGGTTCGACAGTCCCGAATATCAAAATAAGGTATTGGGTTCAAAATTCTACGGTACGAGTTACACAAGGGTAAGCAAATGCATACAACAAACCTCAGTTACCCACGTTCGTAGCGTCAACGATTGCACGTCACTGGCCGGCACAGTGCAGTGTCAGCGTAGGCACACCAAGGAATGTTGGCTCGGTAGTGTGGGTTGCGGTCGTCCCTTCCGACGACTGTTTCGTGATTCTCATTGGCGGCGCGATCACACGGAACTCATGAGAAAACAAGTCAAGGCGGGCCCAGCAAATGGGGCACGAAAGCACATTCACGCACGCTAATACACTAGTGCCGGACGTGACAGGAATTGCGGCAAGGCGAGTGACGGGTACAAATGGACAAAACAAGTGGAGATGAAGATTGCATACGTGAAGTAAGCAAATAAATGGAGGGGTTGTCATGATGTCAAGTTAGATCCAATGCCTACCCGTTCCATAAAGGACACCGGATTAGCGTTGCAGTGGCTTTTAAACCTGGTTGTGAATTTCCATCTAGACTGATGAAC